GTGTTAAAATATATTTTTAAACTTTAACTTTAAAAATGATAAAAACTAAACATCCTACAGTATTTTTACAGTCTTTATTTTACAGTTAAAATAAATGTTTATCAAATAAAGTCTAATGTTACAACTAATCATGGATCCCTTTAAGATTTATTGAAATGGTTAAAGACGGGCTTTAAAGTGTCTCTGACAGAATCTTGTCCCATCATTCAGAAGTGGCCTTACACACAGTGTCCACATTGAGCTTTAGCAAATGTTATAATTTAATGGCATTCTTAAACAATGTGCTCCTATTTAAAGAAATAAACACTACCTTCCTACTTGTTGACTTTGTCTTGTTGTAACAAAGTGAAAACTAGAAAATTTCTGAAGAAATTTAAAAGGGGCTTGCCCAAGTGTGCCTAAGTTGAAACCCAAACTCGACCCAGGAAAACCAGAAACCCTGAAGAGCTGCCTAATTACACCCTCTGCTGGTCTGGGTGTCTGAAAGTCAGGACGTGAGCAGCGATCGGTTTTTCGTTAATTTCTCCGCAGTAGTAATTCGAATCAAAACGTTGTTGAATAGCACACATCTCCACTCCAAGACGATCATTTTTGATATAAGCTTTGTGGGGGTACGTGCTCCGGTTTGAGCTGCATTAAAGGTGATGGAAGAAGAATAAAAAAAATAAAGACAATGCGTAGAGTAATGGATTTGTCATTGCATGGCCAGCCCCAACTAGAGGATAAACTCAGCTTGTGTTTGTTTACAGTGTTGGACAAATTCACAGTATCACTGTCCAGCAGAGATCTGCAAGCTGTGGACCTGGGTCTGTATTTATCAAACTTCTTTGAGTTCAGTTTTAGACTTAAGAGATGAAATTTTCTTAAATTCACTCCTACTCAGATTGAAGTGTAAAAACAAGTTATCAAAATTCTTCATTCTGAAAAGTTGAGCCTGCTCCAGAGGACTCTGCAGTGGTTCAGAGCTGCCACCAGGGGTCAGACATGGACTGAAGACTCTGCAGCACCTGTGGTCCGGGGGTCTCACCTGAGTGTCATTCATCTACAGAGGATCTAAAATAAGGTGTGAAAACAGGTTCTGTCATGGATGCTAAAGAAAATAAGGAGAAAAAAATGATGCCGTGTCATAATGTTGATTTCTGTAGCTTCTGGAGAGAAAAACTATCAGCTGCTGAGTGAAAACAGACAACATGCTGCGGTCAAAGTCTGGATTTTTACATTTGTTACCGTTTTCATTGAAACAGCAGTTTTCTAGTGTTTACTTCAATGAGGCAGTTTTGTTCTCGTGTCCAAATGTATTCAAATTTCTGCCAGAATAATGCTAATAAAACAGGAAGCAGAATCTGTTGGCTTCAGGGGCGGAGCCAGGGGGTGGCCAGGTGTGGCCACAGACAAATCTTTGGTCACCCCATTGACCACCCTGCTGTACACACCCCTTCCACAGTGAAACAACATTAAGGGGTGTAATAATCCTCCTGAAAAGTTGGTGGCAGTATTTAACAGTTTGAAACATCACCAAGCTCTATGACTGAAGAAGAGTAATGACAAGGAAGTGATGATTTCTTTATATACAGAACATATGCCTGTAATCTGACTTGTGACAAATGTTTTTTTTGTTTTTGTCACCATAACACTGTCGTTTTATGTTCTGAAGGCTGCATGATGTTTGGTTCTGAGTAGACCTATCACTAAATCAGAAAAAATGAAACTCCCCTTTAAATTCACTGTTGGTGGTTATTAATGTTGCACCTGCTCATTGGGTAAAGTTATTAATATTAGTTTTATACATGCAGTTGAGGGTCATCATTATTTGGCACAATGATGTGTTACAATTAAAAATAAATCAAAAAATATAAAAGTAAAAAGCACCCCTAAAGTCACTGGATATGTTAAACTGTGTCACATTAATTAATCTTATCTCAGCTGTAGCAGAGAGTTTAAAACAGGATGACGAAACTAGTTTAATAATCTGTCTCTGAAATAATTATTAAATCAATGTTAAACAACCTGGTAAAATACACCAGAACGCAGGAAATGGCATCTCTTTTGTTCAAAATTTTCAGGGGGAGGACTCTCGGACCCCCAACAGTGTGTTCCCCACTTTTAAAATGGTTCTGACGCCATGTTTATAAGATAATCACTGCCTGTATAAGGACATAAGGAAATGACCAAAACACAAAGATCTGCAGAAAACTTTCAAGTAAAAATTTACGTAATTTTCCTGGCCACCCCAGTGAGTAGTGGTCCCAGTCTGGCCACCCCTGTGTAAGTAGTGGTCCCAGTCTGGCCACCCCTGTGTAAGTAGTGGTCCCAGTC